ATTCCTTGTTTTAGTTTCTGTATTGGCCTGCTGGTAATTTGATTGAATATGAACTGTGATGACCAGTAATAGGCTATTTTTAGTAAATATAATATTTTTATTTTTAGTAAAACAGAATTCCAAATTAGAGTACGTGACCTAAGGAATGCAAATTAAGCACTTCTAGCAATATTTTTTGGGGTTTATGTTTGTTAATGATGCTAAATTCAATGAATGAAGAACAGGAAAATGCTGCCAGAACATCTTTCCTGGCAGTCTTTTACTTTTGTGATTCTGTTAGTTTTTCATTTCTCCTCCATTTTTTGCATGATTATCTTTTGCTGAGGCTCTCCTATGTTATTTTTGAAAAGAAAACATCTAACTCAGCAGTAATTGCTGTCTGTTGCTATTTTAATATTCCTAAGCATTTTAGTGCTGATTATGGAGCATAATAATAAGAGTTAAAAAATACCATTTTACAAGTTCAAAAAACTAATCTTTTCTTCCAGCTTGGTTGTCAGTGTATCACTGAAGTGATAGAATTTTCTTTTTACCTTGACACTACATTGAAGAAAAATCTGACAGAAATCAGAGTACTCTGTGGCTCATATTTGAACCTCGGAACATGATTATATTTTTTATCTCTTTTTAAAGGCAGATCACTTAGTGCTCTACTTTGTACTTGAGTCTTCAGGTTACTGGAACTTTTATGTCTACATTGGTTCATAAGCCAATAAGAGCAGGTGTGACAAAGATCGATGAGTGAAGACAGAAGATAGTTACAACAGACTGGTGTGACATTGCCCATCTGAGAAATCACCTGATGGTCTAGCTCAAATGAGCACTGTCACTTGGAATTGAGAATAATTTTGCTTCTGAGTGCTAAGTCTGATGGGACTTGTCAAAAAGCATCAAATCCCGAGAGACTGTGTATATTGCTTTGAAATGATTTTTTATATAGCGTCTTTGTAGCTGGATCATTCTCTGTGTTAGTGCTACCTTGGTTCAATTCCCATGCCATCTTGAGAAACACTAAAACTTTTTCTGCCACGCTTCAGAATAATTGCTTAGTGATAAACTGAATATGATCTTTCTGCTGTAACTACGAGTATTACTGCATCCACCTTCCCTTTTATAAAACAGTACTGGTAGCAAGTTAGGTGCAAAAGTTGTGTCCGAATAGAAGTTAATGTCTTCATACACCCTCGGCACATGCATTTCTTTTTCCTTTGCTTGAGGAAGTTTTCCATTCCAGTGTGCAACTCCTTTGATTTTGTATCTAAATATCTAAATCAAGTTTTCTGACCAGACAGCAATCAACTTCTCTGGTAATGTCAAGCTATGATCTGGCGTATGCTTTCAGTTGAGCAGCGTGAGTTGGAACTGCTGTCACAAAATGATGTTCTACTTTGTGCTGTACATCAGTAAGAAAGATTTTGTGAAGGAAGAAAATTTTTGATGATTTTAACTATTATACTAATTGATTTGTTGTGGGCAAACATTTGATAAATATTAGAGCATGGGAATTTAAATCTCCCCACACTGACATATTTTTACTGTGAATATCTGTACTATTCTATATCACATACATGGGTTTTACTGAAAGAAACAATTGCCTTTTTACATAATTAAACATAATTTGAGGCAGTTGTATGCATGTGTCGAGCCTTCTAGCCTTGGGCCCTTAAGTCATTGTACCAGAATACGTATTGTGGGATCTGCAGATGAACCAGTACATTGAATAACAGTGCACAGTATCCTTCTTTTGTTTTTTCAAATGATAATAATTTAAGATATTCATTAATGAGCTAATTTTTGCTTTCAATTACAGTGAAGAATGGTGTTTGCTGTGGTTCAGAAAATCATAAATCTTAAGGAATATATGCTTTTTGTTGTCTTCTGTTTAAGTCTGTGCCAATTCATTTATGTATAAATTTCATTTGTAATTTAAGAGTGAATTTAATGTCTCATTCAAGAAAAATACTTGCTGAAGTCAGAGGGACTTCATACATCAGTGCTTTTGTGAATATATTGAGACAGACATTAGCATATGCTCTAATGTTGTCTTTAACTGGCACTTTAAAAGGTTTTATAAAATTAAAGGGCAACATTACTATAAGCATTACTGAATGCTTAGACTACTGTTATTGTTATGTAGAGACTTTATTCAGAAGTATCACACACCACCATAAAATCTAGCTCTTTAAAACTATCACTTTGTCAGTGGAATATGCATTTTCAGATCTGCATAGATATACTTGTATGGATAGATATATTTTCATTAACATAGATTTTCCAAGCCTGAATAAGCACTACTTTTGCATTCATGCAGGACTCATTTTAATGAAATTGCTCTGTAAAATTTTTAGCTACAGTGCTGACGGGCAATGATGGAGAGAGAAGAAAGAAAGAATATGCCAGTATTTCTCATTGTTGGGATTCCACTCACGTTTGTAAAATCTAGAAGCCCATTCTGTATTGTATCTTCTAGTCAAACTGTTTGACTCCGTTTTCAACATCTTTTTTTTTTTTTTTTTCCCAGAGACAAAACTCTCCATAACAACTAGCCACATTTATTTTGGCTGTTACCCTTTTATAAAAGTTACACATTTTTCCATTTCACTTTAGCTGTTCCAGTATATTCCTAAAAACATTCCTCAGCAATTCTCAGTAAGAATAGATTTCCTTTCATATCTCATTCTCTTTCTGCATGAAGGAAAGATGCTAAGGGAAAGTGCCTGTTGAATGAGGACATCAAGTAAACCAGTCCTGTAAAGCACACTTGATTTAATACAATTCAACAGTTGTTCATTGTTTATATAAAAGAAAGGCAAAAATCTAAAGTTGCAGTAAAGATTTCAAATGAAAGCTTCAAAAAGAATGTTAATTCAATTAAGAATCAAAGTTTCTTCAATTAACTTTATTTTCAAGAATGGATTTGATAATCACTGAAAAGTAAGTGGCATGGGATTGGTAGCTTATTTATTCTCTTTGTAGCAATCATTAACTAGTAGTTTTCTTTTTCAATATTTTATATCTCTTTGTTGTACATGTCAAGACCAAGCACTTTCTGGCTTACGTGTTTTATGTACTCCAGTATATGCTTTACTTGAATAGGTATTGCTGATTTCATCTAGATTTTGTACCACTTCTTCATCACAATTTTTCATTCTATAAGTTTGAGAGATAAAGAGAGAAAGCTTGGAGTAAAAAGGTAATACCAGACTACTTAGGACAACTTCTAGCATTTCTACAGCAATGTTATCAAACGCATAATCATGTGGACTTGTGGCTTGTTTAAATTTTAGAAGAAAAAGTGTTCAGGGACAGAGTTTACTTCTCAGTTTTTTTCACAGGTGGTATCCACTTAGATATCTTCAAAAGGTGACTGTAAGTTAGAGTTGCTAATTCTGTAACTTCTCCCTTTCTTTCCTGTTATTGAGTAAAAGCATTTTTTAAAAAAGGTAAAGGATAACTTTATTTTTCCTGCACTTCGTCTATCCACATCTGTGATTGCAGTTTAGAAAACATGCTCCTGTTTGCTTTGGCTATGACTGTTCTGAATCATGTGACTGGTACAGAAGAGAGAAGATGTGTTTTCTTTGAAGGCTGAGGTTACAAGATATCTCTGATGGAATTCAGGACTTCAGAGTCTTGATCTGACTAACTATTCCACTGACAGTGTCATTGTTATCCCATGAAATAAGTGTTATTTCTGAATTCTGAGGTCTAAAACATCAGAAATATGAACTACTCACTGAAGATCTCTGTGCTACAGCAGAAGTTTTGGATGTGATTTAAGATGGTGAAATTTGCTGTGATACATGTTTGGTTTTTGGCACACATACATACTACATTGCAAAGTATGCCTTGACAACCAGTATGCTACTTTATATAATAGACTAAAATTTCAGAGTGGATTTCAGATATTGGTACAAATAATGTGCCATCACATTGTTACTCCTCCATAGCAGCCACTATAGAATTGGAAATATTGTGTCTAAGTGAGAAGTTGACAATTTTTCTTGACGGATTGCTTTAAATTAGCCTGATGTAGTGCAGTGATTTTCACATGGAAGTATCCCTGAAAATAGCAATATATATGTATGCAGTTAAATGTGTAGTATAGGTTTTTCATTGGCATGGATTAAATAATTGTATCAATTAATTTACATGGTGTTTTGACACAACAGCATTGCAGAAGGGTTACTTGTAAGTTACCTGGACACAGTGAGATCACAGCAGAAGAGAACCAAATATATGCCAGATTAAAAAGGCAACTTAAATTAACTCTTATAAGATTAACAAGTTATAGAAGCAGAACAACTGGTAGTGTTCATTCTGATACCCAGAGTTATATCACCTAATGGCTCTCATGAAATAAAATGATTCTAATATAAATTATCACCTGTTAAGTATAGCATTTTGATTAGATGCTTGTGTGTCTCCTCTTTACCAGTCTGGGACTGGTAAAGGGACTGCCTGGACTTCTCTTTCTCTGCTGTGTAGCTTGGGGTGTCATCAGCCACATCACAGAAAAGCTAAAAACATGAAAAGGAGCTACAGAAGCAGTTATGGGAGAGAGAAAATATGGCTGAGAGCATTCACAAATGGATAGGGGATTCACTTGTATTCCTATTCCTTCATAGTCCTACCATGCCAGGACTCTGGCATAGCTGTGGAAACTACAGCTTTTGTTTTGTTGGAGATTTATTAGACAACCTCAGCAAAACTAAACTGAACCAAGAAGAATTTATACATGTGGGTTACTGTTCATGCCAGGTCTGGAAGGGAGAAGTACGCAGCTGAAAAACGTCAGAGAACAGCCAGTGCTGTTTCCAAACCGGTATTACCTGTTAGTGTGACCAGGAGCAGAGCACATAGAAAGCTTTACATCTTGCTTTCTTTTTTGAAAGATGTCATTGCAATACATTGCAGGTATAAGGAGCTGCATGGCATTGCTTATACTTCTGCTGTGTTTTGGTCATACATATATTGTCCTGTTTGTGCTTCTCTTCCAGGTTCAGGTCCTTCGCAATGCGGGGGAAGAAGTGACCCTAACTGTGTCCTTTTTGAAAAGAGCACCTGCTTTTCTCAAACTGCCATTGAATGAAGATTGTGCATGTAAGCCTTTATTACTTGACCAAAATAAACCTTAATTCAATGCTTGTGAATACTTGCAGCTTCTGAATCTGGTGTGCATTGGGGGGGGTTAACAACAGCTTTCTCAGTCAGCATTGTTGCCCAAATATGAGCTTCTCGTATTGCCAGATCTTATGTTAGCAGTCACCTTAAATAAAAGTGTGCAGTTGTTGCTTGAAAAACAACAACTTTTGAAAAACAAGATTGCCTTGTATTTGGCTGGTGTGAGTCAGCGAAGTTGAGTCAGGGGAATTACATTAGGTTACAGTAGCTCACATTTTGGTGTAGAGTATTTAAAAGCATTTTTCTGTGGAGCACCAGATAAGAGTTTACTCCAGGAATTTTGTGTTCTAGATGTGAAAATGAGATCATGTGTATTTATTATGAGAGCTTAACTTTCTCATTTAAAAATCAGGAGTTTTCATGTAGGTGTCTGTGTACCTAAAAATAAATTTGTCTAAAATGTTTAATATTTTAAGTCCAACTGAGTTTTAGTGAACTAGCCCCATCAGAAACAAAGGAAACAGCTGGCTTCCTTTAATTGCCTGAAATTGTGAGTGTGGGCACTTAATTATACAGTTGCAGCATACCCAAGCATATGCATAATCATCCTGTGCCTTTTGGCACCACTACTTTCTGCTTTTTTCTCCTAAAGGGAGCAACAAAACAAAAAAGTGTTTGTTTCAATACTTCTAGGCCCTGATGTTACATCAGTAGCAATTAAATAAAACTAAGTTTTGATATGTCTTATACAAAATCAGTTGTAGAAGTACCATCTTTATCTTGTATCCAGGTATTGAACTTAAATGAGGCAAGAAAAAAAAAAATGCAACACCAGAAATCTTCTAAAATAAAAAAGAATCCCAGTAACTCATTGCTGCTTTTATGAAAGGATGTGGAGTATAGAGAATGCTGAGTAAAGTACAGTAGCATGCACTTGAATAGATCCTATCATATATGATTTATGAGATGTAGCTCTGTATCCTTGTAAGTTGCTACAAGAACTGTTAAACCTGTGAACTTCATAGAGAATGACAAAAGCATTGTCTGACTGTTTCGTTTAAGTGAGAACCAAGCAAGTAAGTGCACTTTCCATTTATTATCAGATTAGCAAATACATTTGTGATTTTTTCTTACTGAGTAGATTATTAACTTTTTTACAAATCACTAAGGAGTGAGTTGAGCCTTGACTTTTGGATGACAAAATCAATTGGAGAGGGAAACATGCAAGCACACAAACACAAAGTTTTATTATAGCATTATAGATAATGATACATTTTTGTATATTCGTATATCCGTGTTGGTGTTAGGCGCCCCCAGTGACCAGAGCAGTGGCACTTCCTCTCCCCTGTGTGACAGTGGTTTGCATCTCAACTACCATCCCAACAACACGGTAAGAGCTTATATTTCTTTCATGAAATTACATCAGAAAAAAAATTGCTAAGTGAAAGTAATAAAAAACCAGCATTGTGGGAGGAGCTCAAATTAGCATTGGAGGCAGTTCCATAGGGGGCTAAAATTTGTCAGCCAGATATTGTAGCTAAGAGTAACACTGAGAAATTGTAGCAGCTGAGATTATGCTCTGATAAATGTGATTACTATTTTTATCTGGACAATGGAAATTTTGGGAAAGTTTTGTCTTCTACATTTATTTGCAGAGCAGGGGGAATAAAATTATTAAAGTGACAATATAGCTATTTAAACAGGAGTTAGAAAACCTTTTCAGAATATTATTACATATATTTTATTTATTATTTATAACTTTTGACCAAGGCTTACGTAGGTGCATGTTTTTGCCTATTTTTAAGATGCTAACGTTTTTCTCCTATTAACTAGCTCTAACAATTGTATTGAAGAACAATAGCATTACACAGCAAAGTGCCTTTAACTTGAAGTGCTACAGATCTTTGTTCAGATTTGTCATAAAAGATTCCTTTGAAATGCAACACGGTGCTTTTATTGTATTTCTTAGTCATTAAATGCAGCATTTGTGATATTTTGTATAGTTCTAAAGATTTTTTTTGTATGTATTTGGCTTTGTGATAGATATACTAGAATAGAAATCACAGACTAAATAAATCTGTATATGACATAACTATTATACTATATGATAATGAACAGAAGTTTAAGCACTATTCAGTAGACTTCCTGTCTCTAATTTCTGTCTTCCTTTATTGTTCTTTCTCATTTCAATAATAAAAAGTTTAAAATGGGAGCCAGAAATTTAAAAGTCAGTAGCACGGATTTAAGCCAGATTAGGGTCTAGGAATCCAAAAGATTAAACTAATTAGGTTATACATCTGCATAGGAGAAGGAATTCATCAAAAAGAGTTAAAAGTAATAATATTGAGTCTTGCTGTAGGACAAAAAAAAAACAATAAATGTATATCTTCTAATAGTGGAACAACATCAGAAACAAACACCTGAGCTATTTGTATACGTATGTAAAAAGGTAATTGGAGGAGATTTTAAAGTTATTTTGTTAGCCACTTCAAGTCTATCTTTGCTTTGAGGGTTAAAGCCTTGCTTCCATTCAGGAATCCTATTGCTGCTGAAGGTGTCAAAATTATGTAAGTTACCTACAGTTTCTTTTTGAACTGATAATAATTTAATGAAAACAAGTTTGGTTTTTTTTTTAGTTTTCTGTTTTTTTTTCACTCAGTCTTCTTGCCTGGGATATCTCCTTGTAATGGAATGGAATGCTTCATAAAGTCAGATGAGAACTCTATGTGAATTCTTAACATATGCACAAAACTTTCGTTGTCATTCCATATTGTCAAAGTATTTTCTAGAATGTATTGTGTCTTATGGCCTTAGGGTATTTCGTAGATACAGCCTTGGTGATCCACATGACAAAGATTTCTTGCTCAAAAGGATTTGGAGTAGACAGGTCCGGTTTGGACCTAATTTAACAATAGAAAGTGCTATGCAAAGTGAGGTTACCACTTCTGTTGCTCTTGAACATAGATCTACTGTCTCCATCTAAACTTCTTGCCACATTTCAACTTTTTCCTAAAGTTTTGTCACAGCTGGAAAAAGTTCCTGAATATAGACAGAACTTGAAAACTTCAAGACGTTATTCAAAACAGTATGCTAGCTTAGTATTTCTACTCAGTCATTTATTTATGTGGATTTATTTTGTCTGAATCTATGGAATGTTTCACCAGAGCATCAGTGTTTTACATTCATGAACGTACTTTTGAAAATCCTGCTATTCAGATAAATTGATGTTCATTGTGATCTTTCATGTTACACGCGTTACAGATATATGAACATTCATTTAAAAACTTGCTAAAGCGTTAAAACTTGAAAAATCAGGGTATGGGGTTTTTTTTACATTTATTTTCAGAAGATATGAGTAAGAAAAAGTATGAAGAAAAAAATTTAAAAAAAGATTATGATTCAGGATCAATAGGTTCAATTTTACTGATATATAGAAAGCACGTATTTCAGTGCAAATGTTCTTTAAAACACGGCATTACGACTACCCTATTTTGAAAAGCAAGTGCTTTGTAAAGAAAGAAAGAGGTGCTGGATTTTTTAAAAATAATTTTGATTTTTTTTACTCAAAAACTATATCTCATTCTAATCTACATTGTCTTAAAATATACTAAAATTAAGATGTATATGTATAAATACCCCTTCTTTGTAGATATAATCATACACATGATCTAGTTGAATTTTCATATAAATAATATCTTGTGTAAATAGGTAAAATTGATATATTGAGTGAACAATTTTCATAATTTATTAATTAATGTGAAGTAATATAAAATATTACATAGTATTATAATATATAATATAATTAGGTATAATATAATGTTATATACCAGTGAAATGAAATTAGAATAGTTGTATATGTAATTGAGTGTGGAACCATAGAAAACACCTGAATTATGATTGAGTGACATAGAAATCTCCCTTACTCAGGGTACAGATATGAAGCCTGTAACCAATAACATAATATACGGGAAATACTTTTATTTATGACTAGTCACCCCCAAGAATGATGCAGTCTTTTTTTGCTGGGTTTCTAAAATAATGTTATTCATAGTTTCTCTAAACATGTTGATGTTGAGCTTTACATAGGTTAGTTTTATTTCTGACAAAAAGTTGAGAATCTGTGGAGTGCTAGCTAGAATTTGTGCCGATGATCTGAGAAAAGTGGATGATTATGCTAAACATAAGGTCTTTGAAGTTGCTATCTTTCCTTCCAAATTTGCTGACTATTTATAATGAAGCCCAAAACTGAGAAGGGCCTTCTAATGTTTTTCAGGATACATTATCATGTTCCTCATGGCCAACATCCCCAGGACTTAGATGGGAAAAAAGGTGGTGTGATCTCCGATTAATTCCACTTCTTCATTCACGATTTTCCCAGTACCTTCCAGGATCAGATTTGTGCAGGTAAATAAGTTCAGAAAGCTGAAACTATTGACTTCTCGATTTAAAGATGCAATCCCCAGGGATTTGCAATATTAAGAGAAGTGGCATTATTAATTCCAATGCAGCTCTGAGAGATAGGGGACAGAAGACCTGGGGCGCTCACAATCAGGCTTAAATTTATTGCATCATCTGATGACCCGACTAGTGATCAAGCATTAATATCTTGAACTTTTTCTGTTCCTACATTCAAAAACACATAAAGTTACTTAATTAATATGTAAAATCTTCATTAATATTTCTGTTATAAGTGTTTTGCAGAAGGTTTCAATTATCAATTCTTTGTTGTTATACTCACACTTTTGCCTGGAAAGGGGTCTTGCAGTCTAATGTTACCACTTCCCTCCAGGTGTGGGTTTATGATCCCAATGAAAACTGAAAGATCATAAATCAATTTTGGGTTTCTTTGGGGGCAATTTTGTTGTTTCTCATCACAACCTTCTTTTTGGTTCTTACCAAATGTTTGAAAGTTATGTAAAAGCCTCCCACAGCCTCAATTAATTCAAAGGGCTATTGTTTCTTTAAAGTTTACCATGTAGGTTTGCAGTCTTGTTTCCTATTCAACAGAGCTGATATTAAAGCAGCTTAGTAGTCACTAGATGACTGTTAAACTAAAAACAGTTTATGGTCTCTGAATAGTGACAGCAAAATCATGCTTACTTGTCTACATGATTCTTGATCTCTTGACAATTACTGGCCCAGAGAGCTAACTTGTGATGCAAAAGCTACATTGGTTCATTGGCTGAAATGAGCAGGATATGGATACCAGAGATGTAAGATTTCTTGTACATGATTCTCTGAAAACCTTCAGCTCAATGTTTTACAGTGGTTGAATATAATTAACACCTGTCGTAAAGGACCCAGAATTATAAAAGTCAAATCTGAGATCTGTTCTGCTGTACACTCCAGATAAGATACTAGAACTACTCATGGGAAAATTAGGATATATTCGACTATTCATAAATTTAAGACTTTCACATTCAGTCTTCTGTAGCAATAAAACACAAGCTTAATATGCTCATTATAGAAGTTGTACATTACAGAGAAAGATTATGTGTAGGCAGCAATATTCCTAAGATTTCAATTGCAAAATAAATTTACAGATGTATACCTGAAGTCATGCTCACACCTTGAGTGATTACTAATTATCTCCCTGTATTTTCCTGTGCTATCTATCATGAGGAAAATTGCTTTAAATTTTTTTTTAAAAAAAATCAAGTTTGATAGAGAGAAGCAGTTGTTGGGTTTTTTCCTCAAAAAGCACAGAGCCAATATTTTGTTGGTAACAAGCTAGTCTATGAGTGTTTTAAAATAGTTTGTAAATCTCTGTATTTTAAAATATGACTCCCTCCAAAAATTTGTTTTCAAAGAAAGATAGAAAAATTTTTAAAGGGACTGAAAATGAAAAGAATATAAAGAACAATGTTAAGAAAAGAATATTGCTAATAATAATAAAGAAAACAACATAAAATGTTACATGCTATATAAAGTTGTCTTATATCATTTTTAGAACCTGCGATGTGTAATTGAATAAGAATATGATCTTAATTTTTTCTTGTTGTTGTATTAAAAAATGATCAATAAGAAGTTAGTTTTTAGTAACATATCTTTTAGATTGTGCCTGTAGGAGTTTATAGACAGATGACCACCTCTGTGAAAAGACAACTGAGCTGATGTGTTAGCTGATAGATATAGATAAACCATCGGTGTCTTCATGATCATGTGAGGATACATAAGCTTTATCTTCCAGTCAGAACTTATTCTTCATGATGGAATTGCTCAAGGAAAAGGCATGGCACTAATTCATTTTTATACTAGTCCTAAGTGAAAGAAAATCGTGTACTTGACACAGACACAGAAGAACATTTATGGTTGAGGTAGATGCTAGCTCTGCATTCTATAAAATTAGTTGATAGTTTTGTGAAGTAAAAAACTTATATATGATTTTGCAGAATCAATATCAGTCTTAAGATGTCAGAAACTGTCATTAGTGACACTCAGTTTTATGTTGAAGATAACACTCATTTTGCCTCAGCCTTCTAAAAAATCTAAACAGTTTTAAACCATGAATGTATGAATTTGTAGGGGAATGCTAGCAGTGGAACTTTATGTTCTCTTTATGCTTAATAATATCCTATTCTGTGAAACTGATTCATAATGAGCTTTTGAGGTTCTGAAGCTAGAGACTTGTCAACCTTCCTAAAGGCCAAAAAGGCCTTTTACAGAAGTTGGATCTCCTATAGCTTTATAATTTGAAAGTTTCCTCTTGTTCTGTAATTGTTTAGCACTCAGTTGTGGAAAGTCAAACTATAACGCATCGTAAATCATTGTGTAAGTTCCAAGAATGTTGCTGAGGTAAAGACACCCCAGTGGCTACTGCCTTTGTCAGTGGATGTCTCTTGGCATTCCTGTGTGATTTCCTAATGATTCTGCATTCAGAAATGCAACTGAAAAAATCATTAATGCTACCTCATAAATTTGAATTCACCAGCTATTCCATCGGCAGGTAAGAAGAGGATCATTTACAATGAAAATTCTATCACCAAAAGCAGCTAACTAGCTAGCAGTAACCTTAATGTGTTTTGAAAATGAATTTGGAGAATGAAACAAAATTTTTTGAGAAAAAGGTACGGTATTCCACTGAATTTCATGAAAGGCTACCTACAGTCTGCTGCACTTTCCTTCTCTGTGATCTTCATATTCAATTATTAATGCTTTGATATGCATCAACTATTCCACTTGTTTAGCTTCTGAAATCACATAGGGTTGGACAAGATTCCATAGAGCTAGTCAATAGGATTTTCTTATAGCTTCTTGGAAACTTAATATAGGAATAGTTGACCTTTTTATATGACATTTAACATGTAGCTGATTGTTTTAATATGTCAGGTATTTATAAACAGGAAAACCAGCAATTTATCAGTGCTCACTGGTTGACCTTCATTGCAGTTGAAAGAAAAGCATTTCTACAAGTATTGTTAAGATGATACGCTAGAACAGATGAAATTTTCTTCTGACCTGATCTGTTATGACATGTCTATAGGCAAAATGCGTTCCAAGTAATTGCTGTGGATGGGGTTTGCAGTGGAATAATTCAATGTCTCTCTGCTGAAGACTGTATTGACTGGCTACAAGCAATAGCAAGTAACATTTCCAACCTCACAAAGCACAATGTAAGTATGGATCCAAGCAAGCCAGAAGGTTTCCCAATCATGTTTGATTATAACTGTCATAAAAGCCTAATGGGTTCAAGCACAGAATTATCTGCATATAAACAATGCTCGAGGCTGTCTGAGAGAAGTCAGCTCAAGTTTATCATCAAATCAGACTTTGTGAGAAATCACTGAATGGGAAAATATTCCCCCCTACAGTCATCTAGTTCACTTCATCGCTATCAGCATTGCATATTTAGCAATACCAGCTACCATGAGAAACAAAGACTAGACACAAGAGAAAGACAGGTGTGATGTATAAGAACATATAAAAGCAAAAGGAAATTCTGCATTTTCCTGATGGATTGAAAAGGTATATCTATATTGAAATTTTTGTAATTGGATCTGAATTAGATATTAGGTCTGTTTAGGTGTCATTTAAGGCAAGGGCAATACAAGTCCTCACTATCGAGAAAGATTAAATATGTTTATGCTTCATGCACTGTACTTTTATGGTCTGATCTTGTGGGATAGGTAACTTTTTATTGCAACAAGGATAACTGTTATGCGTAGGTTTTGCTAAACTACTCCTAAGTTCAGTTGAAAGCTCTTAAGTTTGTTGGGGGCTTTTTGATCTACGTAGGATATATCTTGCATTTGATAAATAAAATGTAGTTTACAGCTTAGAATTCTATATGATTCCTTTTCTGTTCTGTCTACAAAAATACAGAACACATGGGTAACTCCATTATTTTGAAATAATTTAGAACAAGGAAGCCCTTGAGGATTTAATTTATATTCTTTCAGATTTCCTTAAATCTGTTTCAGCCTCCCAAATATAACTAAATTTGCTTTTCTTTCAAATACAGGGAACATATTGAAGGAAGTTGTATTTCTTGCAGATTTATATTCAAGATGCAAAACTATGCTCCATCTGGCAGCAATATGTAAAAGTCGTATTATAAAAATGTGACAGACATGAATTCATCCACCATGTGCAAGCTTCCATGCAATGCAAGCCAACTTTATGGCTATTTATTCCTCCTTACATTGCTATTGCTGCATAGAACTTCTTGTCTATGAGGCATCCTGACGAATGAGTGTGCTGGTTAATTTTTTCTCACCATCGTTAGTTCAGACTGTTGATTATTCTTGCAATCTAAAGCAGTATGTTTGTTTACTTACAACAGTAGATAGAAGACTTTAAAATTTATCTGATAATACATTATGTATCTCTTATGAGACTGTACCCGTGGTTACTTAGTTACTATTGTTACATAAAATACTTTCAGTGTTTTAAAAAGGAGTACAGTGTGTTCTAGACTAGTTTCCATAAAGAAACACAAACACTGTAACTGATGTTACAGTGATATATATAATAGCTGATTATATAACTATTATGCAAACATCTATATTTACCTTATCCCACAGACATCCTGTAGAGAAATTGTGATTTAGTTTGGGCTTACGACTATAGTAAATGATGTGTTTTACAACTGTCCCAATTGTTTATTGCTCATGTGAGTTCATGAAAACCAATGAGACTCTCTTTTTCATTATATATTTTTCTTAAAAATGTCAAATTTCTTAAAAATGACAGCATGTATGATAAGTGAATGTAAGCAATATTAGACAGTCAGAGAAAAAAAGAAAAAAAGCAAACTGTTATTCAGAACAATGATTAAATATGAGTAGAGGTCTTTTTTTAAAAAAAAGATTATTGACCTACACATACTGCTGATGCTAGCATTCTTCCTCTGTGAGAATCATTTACTCACAGTCATTCTCCCTTCCCGTTGGTGTGCTGTACCAAAAAAACAATGTGAGTACAGGACTTTATTTAATTTTCAGACAAAATATATCAACTATTTTTCTTTTTAGTTTCAGTTAATGTTTTATTTTTATCTAGGAGTTATGTAAAGTAATTTTTCACTTAAATACTGTATAATAGTTTGTTGAAATGTAACCATACATGCTTTTTCTAACTTATGAAACAGAAAGAAGATAAAAACTAATAAGATTATAAAAACTATGTTGTTTCTGAAAGCATGTCCTTTACTACTGTGTCAAGTTTGGACTCAGTAGGTTTGGGTGGGATTTATCTTGCCCAGTGCTAAACGTCTTAAAGCAGAACATCTGAATAGTTATCCCTTGGCTTTACTTCTGACATCTGTTTTCTGATTATATGAATCCCCTCAGAACTTGTCTTTGTTTCCTTTGACTGGTTATGGACCCTGAGGTGGTGAGTTCAAACTCATATCTAAGGATATGTGTAAATTCTGTCACAGGTCTCCTTATGGGGCAAAAGAGAGCTTCTCTGAAGAAATCTAGTGAAGAAATGTCTGGGTATTTTGACAGAAAACATTCTAGTTTCAACTAGCATTCTGAACTATTTTACTTTTTTACACACAAACTGTCTGAAAACCGTCTGATGGTTCAAACCCCATAGATGTATGTGGTAAAAAGCCAGCTTTCTTTCCCTGTATTTCTTTGCCGTTGTGAAATGTAAATCCCAGGCTCCAAAATCTTCTGTTTGAGTCTATGGTTAAGTTACATTTTTGTACGGATAAAGTCAGAATTTCTTCTACTGCAATGTAAAATGTTCCTATCTGACGCAACAGTGGTGTAGTTCAGTTGAAGAATCAGCAGTGTAGCCAGAGAGCAACAGGATAACAAAAGGGCATGTGTGGAAGCAAAACCAAAATGTCTTGATGATCATCACCTCTGAAAGACAGTTTTGCTAATTGAATCTAAGTAATGGAGTCGAACATTTTGTCTGTGGGCCAACACATATTACCTGCAGTAATTTGAAGACTGTCCATCCTTGTACAGTGCGAGATAAAACTTGTATTACTATGCAGCAAGATACTTGCAGTTTTAATGCAAAGATTTAGAAATTTATATTATGACTATTCATAAAAACATCGGTATGCTGACTGATGTAGTTTACCTCATTAGTTCTCCATTTTTTGTCAAAAGACAGACTTCAAGCATGCAGTATTTTTCCTTCTGTTTGTAGGTTAGGAGCATTGTCCTCCAGTGTTTCTGAAATCACAGAATCACATGATACTGACAACTTGCATTTCTTTAGTTCCCCAGGAACAATAAAACAATTACAAATGAGATGGAATGCATCCCGTTAAGATTAAAAAACACTAATTGACTTGTATATGGGTATGCAGTTCACAGGATATTATAGGAATGCACTGCTTAAAGTGACATACTATCATAGTATAATTGATGATGTGATGAATCCATAAAGGTTATTCATTTTGGAAGTAGAATTCTTCTCCAGTGTGAGCCATTTAAGCTGCTTTTCTGTGAAAAATTTATCAGTTTAGAACTACTCAGGGGTTATATTAAGCTCAGAGTTTGGTTGAAGCAATCGTCAAACTAAAGTTTGTGTGCTGAAACCTGAATAGGTTAAATTGAACACACACTTGGGATTCTGTTTCCCTTGTGAATTCATTACATACTTGCTGCTAGTATGGATGACAGGCCAAAGAAGATTTGAAAGGAAAAAAACTGCCACTTCTACCTTTTTTATCTGTGCTTTTCTATTCTGCTGTGCCAATTCAGCTGTGAACTATTAGCCATTCAATAAGCTACTTTTAGTCTGTATTAATTTCTTTGATAACTAATACTGATTTCTCATGTTTCACACAGTATCCAATGGATCATACAACTTTTAAAGAACTATGCTCTTGGAACAGTCTAAGAAAAGACTCTAAAATCACATGCTATATAAAGATCCACTTGATGCCAATGCATCCCTAGTTTATGTGATACAGTTTTCAGGGGTCTCAGGGACAGTATTTGTAATGACTTTAGCAGGGATGAGGTTTTAACTAAGTTATTTTTCAAACCTAATTCAATTCAAAATCACTGGGTACCCCAATGTATTTTCCAAGTGCAACCATGAATAAATAAATAAATAAATAAATAAATGTGAAGGAAACATGAATAGAAGTTTTGGGTTTTGATAACAAAAGAATATTATATACTTATGTTTCAGTTATCATCTTGTAGGATGCAGCTTAGCTGATTCTTTGGGAATTCATCCTCCCAACTCGATATATGTCACTCTTGTCTATTGCTTTCAAATTTTTATATAGTGAGTGCTATGGTATTTCTTTACCGCTTTCTTTTGCCATCATTTCCTTGGAAGACACTGCGCTGATTGCTGATTTATATTTCTTACCTTGACTTTTACACTTGACAGAGAAGTAGCAACAAGAACTTCAGCAGACAGAAATGACAGGTAGCTGAGTAAAGGTTGCCAAGCAGTAAGTGAAAAAAAAAGAGTTTTAAATTTAGCTTGGGAATGCCCAGAAGATCTTGCAAGAATTATTACCCGATAACTTGACAACATTCCATCACTTTCTGTGTAAATCTTGCAAAATACCATGTGTCTGTGAAATTAATAAGGCACACATGTGCTACAGATTGAAATATGGTGATAACACAAAAACAGTAGAATTAATAGGTCTACAAAATTAGTATCTGATTCTGGGCATGCCATGCTTTCCTGAACATAAGACTCTATTTTGAACAGTTTCAAAATTTCTGTTGAACTATTCGATCATATGCTTAAAACATAATGCCTAATAAAAAGAAACTGCTTCTAAGATCACAAGCTAATTTGTCCTAATCTTCACCAGAGACAGGAGAACAGTAATAACTTATTAAACATCTATATAATTCTGAAGTTTGGATTGTAAGGTCTGAAGTAAGGATTGTATAGGTTATTAGAGGGGAGAAAATAAACACAAAGCAGGAAAAAGAATACAGTTAGGTTAATATGATCTGTTCTGCTTGTGGGAATAGTTAAATATCATAGGACTACATTCAGTGTTTAGTAAGATTTTTAATGATGTTGATACTATGTGTGTCTTTTTTTTTGTTGTTGTTGTTGAATCGTTAAGAGCATACTGTGGAATGCTATTTTTTGTGTATAAATCAGTGTCAATTATATGAAATGAACAGATTTCACATTTCAGTTTTTTTGTTTGAAATACCAT